AAAATGGGATTGTTGAGAGTTATCGAAACCAGAATAAAGACGGGTTATTTTTTTTTCCTCTAATGGTACGAATCGGTACGCTGTAAAATAAAAAGCTAATAAAAAAGGAACGAAAATTTGGTTTATTAGAATTTATTTTAGACTTAATTATGTTAATTTAGCATAATATGTGGATTTATCTCCGACATAGAGTTGATAAAGTTCGGATAAACTGTTTTGCCGTTATTGCCCTTTACGTGGACCTACATGGAAACTTGCTAGAACGATGAAATCAGGAACTTTAATCTGATTTGCATGATGGAACTTCTGTACTATTTTATGGACAAGTTTCGATGACAATATTGATTTCATTGCCAAATGAAAAAATGCAAAGCAAAACGGCAAAATGTCGATTTTACTATTCTGTGGTTTGATTGTATCTTACGATAAAACAGGGGCAGTAAATCCTACTAAATATTTTTTTATTTTTTTTATTTTCAATAGGGTTTAACCTTGGGTGATAAAAAACACTCATGCCAAGTTTGGTCAAAATCTGTCAAGAATTATGCCTTCTAGAGTGTTTACGAGCTAAAATTTTAACGCTTTTTCAAGAACAAGGGCAATAACTCATACTAAATATTTTCCGATTCTTCTGATTTTCATCCTGGGATGATTACGAACACTCATGCCTAGTTTCGTCAAAATCCGTCAAGAATTGTGTCTTCCAGAGTGTTTACGAGCTAAAAATTGAACGCGTTTTCAAGAACCGACGTGACGGCAATATACACCACTGTATATTAATGTGAAGGAAGTTTTCTGTTTCTGTAACCAACATACTATGAACTAAAGAGAGAGTATTAGGCCTAAATTAAAAATGGAGATGAACCAATTGTCTGTAAAAAAGTATATATATATATATATATATTACATACATTGATATTAAAGTTCTATTGAGCTATGGGTTTAAGTCTACCATGGACTAAAATATTATTAGTATTCTTAGTGCGTTTAAAAGCAATAATTTAATCTTTTTGAAATATATCACGGAATTATGACGTTTGGTAGGTCTATATTATTATACAATGAGAAACCGTTTCGTAGGTCACAGTAACACTGTTTTGGCAGCTATATGATTAATATATAGACACAGCTTTATGGAACAACAATCACTGGTTAAAGTTTTATGCAACGTTTCGACGTGTTTCCCCCGTCGTCCTCAGGCACATATAATGAGATTTAATAAGCTTTAATGTATATATATTGCCCATCAGTCTCTCAT